GTTATGAAGCCAGATGCTTAAATCAGAAGGATTACTCACAGAGGAAGGCTGTGTTCTGGCAGGAGTAGGCTGATACAAGTTGTAACAATAGGAAGCTTCTGACTTTTTCAACAATATAGTAGAAGTAATTTTTCTCCTTTCACCAGAAGTTGACATAATAAGCCTTTCTCCCTTTAGCATCTGTGAGTATATTAAACATACTTTCTGTGACTAAACTGTTTTATGTAAAACTCAGGTCTTACAGTACATGAATCTTAAGGTCCTTCACATGAATTAATAAAAGATCTTAACTTTAAAATCCTCCTAGATGTAGATATTCTGTTGTTCATTCGTGCATTTATTTTTTTTCAAGGCTACTCCATGGCTCGTTCTACGTGTCTTGAAGGTGACATCTGAAGGACATAGTAGAAGAACTGAAAAATTTAAACAATGTCCTGTTTCTTACAAAAATGGAAACATTTTTCTTCCCCTCCTCTTCCTAAAAATAAAAATAAAAAAAAAAAAAATCTGAAGCTCCTGCAATGAAAGTTAGTGATTGCTGTCATACTAGTGCAGTCATATTTTAATGCAGTTGTCTGATTTTGTAGAGAGTTCCTGTCTTATGAAAATGAGCACAAGACTTTCTCCTATCTGATGATCATTTGATTGATGACCCTAATCTTATCAGCTATAAAGCCTTGCTGAGTCTTTCTTATTGAGATAGAATCTCACACAGCAGTTTCCTGCTTTCTGCTTCCTGTAGTTATGCCTGAATCCTGCTTATTTAAAACATGGCTTTTCTCCATTGTCATTTACCATTTAGCTGACTGGCCGTGATCCACCACTCATCACAGTGAATGGGGTCTCCAGACTTGGGAGTTAAGATGCATAAGTTTACACTTGTTTCTTAGTGGTCCTTGTTATCTTTAATTGCCATAGAGACCATTTATCTAGTGAGATATTTATCTTTCTTTCTCTTTTAAAGAAGGGTGTAGCTTCTAGATGATCTTCAGAGGTCCCTTCCAACCCTCACCATTCTGTGATTCTGAACAATGTTGCTTTCTTTATTTTTTTTCCCCTCTCAAAAAAATTAAATATAGTATTATAATTCCTTTATAAGACCTAATAGGAAAAGCATCACAGGTAAATCATAAGCAAAGAGAAGACGTCATCAGTGGAGCTGATGAAGAATCAGATTTGGTTTTTCACTGTGAAATAAAATTTCTGTGCTGTTGTGAACAAAACTCTTTGGAAAGATTATTTAGTCTGATGACAGACATTCTGTTTAAAACTATGAAAAGTTAGCTTCTGCAGAGTAAATTCAAATTCTGAGGAAGTCCTCTATCTCTGTAATAAGACCTGTGTCTATAGCACAACTGTTAGATACCTGAACACCTTACTTTTTGTTTCAAAATCAGAAGAAACCTATTATAAACATAGTAGAAAAGATTTATCTAAAACAGCACGCTCAAGCACAATTTAAAATTGTCATTCATAACGAATGGATTGCTTTATCTAAGTTTCATTTGTTGGACTTTTTCAGTTCTTCAAAGCTACTTTGGTACAAGAGAAACAGTGATGTTACTGTAGAAAATAACAACCATGATATAGGTCATATATATCTTTCCCAGACTGGAACAGATTTTTTTACTCCTGATCTGAAATAGTTCCTGGTTCGAGACATATATGTATATTAAGATTTCCAGAGGTAATTTGGGCCCTATTTTAATTAATAGGGTTGATTTTCCTTTTCTTTGTCAGTGACAATTACTAAGACCTATCAAAAGTGCTTAAATCTTGAAGCAAACATCGGAGCTTCATCAGGAGAGCTTATATGAAATGCGCGTTTCAATTTATGTAACAACAGTGCTTGAAACATGTGTGTCCCTTTTGTAATACCTTAAAGACATGTGAATTGCATGAGTAATGGACTTGATTTTACACTAGGGCTTCCTGACTTCAATAAATCTTTAGGCACACAAAATATCCCACTGATGTGAATGGGAAACCTAGGGTGAGGAAAGACAGCTCATCTTATTCCACTGATATCCATATAAGTTATTCAAAGTGTTTCTTTATCTTTGATACCTGTCATAAATATATATTTTACCTGGGTATATATAACTTCATTACTACAGTGTTAATGGCAATTATATGCTATGTGTAAAGGTTTGACTCTTGAGTTGGGTTTAATTCTTTGCTGCGACAGAAGTGATAGCAATTCAGGGATATGTTTGGAAGAATCTGATGGTACGTGGCCCTGGAGAGATGGGAAGTCCAGGATATTCAGTTGATTTTCACGGATCACCTCCTCCATGCTCAAGAATGGTCCAAACTAATGATCAGGAAATCAGGCAAAGGTGGCAAAACACCTCCATGGATGAACAAGGAGCTAGTGATAAAAATTTAACATTAAAAAGAAGTGTACAAGAGGTTGAAGCAAGGTCAGATATCCTGGGAGGAATACATACCCTTGAAACCCACTGCAAAGATGGGATTAGGAAATCCAAAGTCCATCTAGAGTTGAATCTGTAAAGGGATATGAAAGGCTTCTGCAGGTATATTAGCAACAAAAGGAAGATTAGGGAAGATGTGGGTCCATTCATGAGTGAGGTGAGGTCCCTGGTGAAAAAGGATGCAGAGGAGACTGACTTACTAAATACCTTCTTTGCTTGAGTCTTTACCAGTAAACCAGCCTTGAGCAATCCCAGACCCCTGAGACTAGGAGAAAAGTCTAGAGCAATAATGACTTGGGGAGGACCAGGTGAGGGAGCACCTAATCAAACTGCACATACACAGACCCATGGGACATGATGTGATGCATCCATGAGTGCTGAGAGAGGTCAGTTACCTTCGAAAGGTCATGACAATTGAGGGAGGTTCCTGAGGGCTGGAAGAAGACAAATGTCACTCCTATCTTCAAGAAGGGTTAGGAGAAGGATCGAGGCCAGTTGGCCTCGTCTCTCTGCCTGAGAAGGTGACAAATAGCCCTGGTCACTTTCTCCAAACATATTAAGGACAGGGAGATGATTGAAAGTAGTCACTATGGATTTGCAAAAGGTAAATCAGTCCTGACAGACCTGCTAGCCTTCTACAATAAGATGACCGGTTTGGTGGTTGAGTGGAGAGCGCTGGATGTTCATAGAATCATAGAATGGCTTTGGTTGGAAAGGACCTTTAAAGGTAATCTAGTATAACTGCCCTGCAGTGAGCAGGGACATATTCAGCTAGATCAGGTTGCTCAGAGCCCCATCCAGCCTGACCTTGAATGTTTTGCAAGCCTTTCCACACAGTCCCTTATAACATCCTCTTTGACAAACTGATGAAGTACCAACTGGGTAAGCAGACACTGGGGTGAATTGAAAACTGGCTGAACTGCCAAGCTCAAAGGGTTGTGGTCAGCAGCATGAAGGATAGCTGGCAGTCAGTCAGTAATGGTGTAGCTCAGGGATCGATACTGCAGCCAGTACTGTTTAAAATCTTCATAAATTATCAACATGATGGGACAGAGTGCACTCTCAGCAAGTCTGTAGATGATACAAAACTGGATAAGTGTCTGATACACCATATGGTTGTGCTGCCATTCAGAGGGGCCCAAAAGGCTCTGAGAAATGGAGAGACAGGAAGCTTATTAAATTCAACAAAAGGAAGTAGTCTGCAGCTAAGGAATAACCCTGTGCACCGTTACAGACTAGGGATCAGCTATCTGGAAAGCAGGTTTGCTGAAAATTTTCTGAGGATCCTGATGGATCCTTTACTTGTTGTAAAGGAGATGGGATGCTGGAACATTTTGCTCAGAGAGGTTGTGGAGTCTCCATCCCTGGAGATACTGGAAACCTGACTGGACATGGGCCTGAGCAATCTGCTCTAAGTGATTCTTCTCCAAGGAAGAAGACTGAACTAGATGACCTCTAGAGGCTTCTACTCTTATTCTCTGATTTCATTAAAGGACTTATACTGAGAATACTATTCATTAATCTAATATTATTTAAATTATAGCAATATTTTTCCTTATTTTTTAAACAGGCCAATTAAAAGACAGAAGTAAACTCATGTTTATTTCTCACTTTAAAAATGAAACTGAAAATTCTTTGATGAAATTTTTATCCAGTCAACTATTTTGTGCCAATTCCATCTGTTGTTAGATGCTTTCCAAACTCATTAAAAGTATCCAGATGTTACAGTGATGAAAGCCGTAGAAACATCTAGATATTTAGAGGGATGGAAAGTTCTCTTGCCTAGCTCTTGCCTGGTTAAAAAGGAGCTTACTTGTACTACCGTATTTTGATTTAATGGATTCCCTCAATTTCCTAAATTAATGACAGTATTACTACTATAATTTGCCTGGAATTTTAACAGAAAAAAAATCTCACAAATGGAAAAGTATAAAAAGCATAGAAATGTATTTTGTTTATTTTTGAGGAAATACGTAAGTTAGTGTTGTAACTGAAAATTCCAATAGAAGAGCTTCTTTGGGTACCGTAGCATTGTTGACCTTGTAAAATAAAGACACTTAAATGTCTTGTCAAAATGTGAATCCACAAAGTGCAGAGAAAAATATATTTTATTTTTAAATAGCATTGCTACAAAGCAGCGAAGGCCAAGATATTCCTGAACATAAATTCAGGAATAATTTGCATCCCAACTTTACATGTCAAGTTTGGACAGGTGACTTCCAGACTTTCAGCAAATGATTGAGAGTGAATCATTCTTTAGAATTCTTCTTCTAATCTCAGCTGGTCTGGTATCAGTCACTGATGTATTACAGTATTTCACCACTGATTTAATAAGAAATAATTAACTAATTAAGTGATCAGAAAAAACAGTAAAGAAATATATTTTTATTTAAATATTTTAAAACAATATATTAATGTATATTTTCTTCTCTTCTGTTTCTTTTTTGTTTCTTTTTTTTTTTTTTTTTTTTTTTTTTTTTTTTTTTTTCTTTTTCCTTTCTCTTTCTATCCCTCTTCTATTTGGCTATTGGTGCCTATTGCTTTTTCTCCTTCCTGTTTGGTCAGTTGTTTTTGGCCAGTTTGTATTTTTCCAGACAGCACTCCATGATGTAGTTGAAGTATATGATGGCCCAACTCTGCAGTCAGCTTTGTTATCCTCTCTCTCAGGATCTCATTCAGGTATCCTTTAATAGAACTGTCATTAAACCTTTATTTATTTTTTATGAAAATAGAAAGATAGTGTAGTCAGAAAAAATAAAAGAAAAAATATGATTGTCATATTTTCTTAGATACAATTCAGACAAATATATGAAATCAGGATTTTGAACTAAAAGCCTAATCACTCAAAATTCTTCACGTTCATTAATAAAGAAGTAAAACGGAATATATTTTCTTTAATTTCTTTTTTCTTCTGATATTTAGCTATTATAGTGAATGTTTTGGGCTTCTTGCTATGTGTCTTTATGATTTTTATCTAGTGAGAAATCTGAAATGAGTATTATATATTTAAAAGGGAAACCACTGTGTAATTGTAGCAAAGTAAAAATTGTATAGATTATGCGCATGTTGACTCAATTAAAAGAGGTATGGGGTTTGGTTGTTTTGTGTTAGTTTGTTTGGGGGTATTTTAAGGAAAAAAACCAAAAAATATTCCTAGGAAGTGAGATGGGTTTTAGTCCCCCTTTTCTAGAACAGCAGTACTGCCAACAAAAATATTGAAATCACATATTTCTTGTAAAGTTTACTGACGCAGAACAGGGTTTTGGGAGGGTTGTTTTTAGCTGCCAATATGTTGACAGGTATTTTGAATGCTTCTTTAGTAAAAAGTGGTTACGATAGCTTTCTATTTGCTTTGTTTGAGTAGGTGAATCCCTTCCATTGAGCTCAGGTAACCAGATCACGGTTAGATTTACCTCAGTTGGACCAATAACAGCTAAAGGATTTCATTTTGTTTATCAAGGTGAGACAACCTGGAAAAATGTGTACATTTTTTTCTTTCCATCACAAATTTTAAATCATCAGAGAGGAACAGACTGAGAATGTAGAGGAGAGTAATTGTTAACAATATAACAAGTTTCACTATTTCTGCATGTTTTGAAAAATCATCAGGACCATTCTTTTGTCTATATTTTGAAGGATAAATCAAATATTTAAGAAGGATAAGAGAGGTTTTAAATTTATGAAGACAGTTATACAAAGCAGCTGTTTCTGTTTGCTAATCTGGCTGACTAATGTTAGATCCATCTGTCTGCTCAAACTGGTTTATCTCTTAATTTAAACATTAATAACTGTAAGTGTTGTTACCTGTGGATGAATCAGTGATTTTGTTGTGATTAAGATACTTCTCTTGGTTTACATTATTAGCCTTTTACGGATCAAATGCAGAAATGGTTATACATCAATACTTTCTACTACAATTCATTCTTTCATTAAATTTAAATCCTGATCTGACAATCAGAATACACATTTAGAAATCCACAGGGATAAATGTAAATATCTAGCTGACACAGAAATGTTATTTTGGTACCATGTATTAGCTGTATATTTCATAGTTGTATTTCTTTTCAGTGCCAGTTTAGAAAGATTTAAGATTTTAATCTTGGCAAGGATATCCGTGCTATGCTTTTCTAAATAGTAACTCAGACATCAAAATTATCCAATCTGTATTGTGATGATTCATTTGAGGAATTGAATCATTATAAAAATGTTCTTAACTGGCAAATAACTGAATGTTATTTCCAATCATTTTGAATATTTAGGGTTCAAAATATGTATTCCTCCATCAGATCTAAAATTAAGAATCCACAATTGTTTGTATGTTTGCAGCTGTTCCAAGAACAAGTGCAACACAGTGTAGCTCTGTGCCTGAACCAAGATTTGGAAAAAGGATTGGAAATGAATTTGCAGTTGGGTCATTGGTTCTTTTTGAGTGCAATCCAGGCTATATCCTCCATGGGTCAACAGCAATTAGATGTGATACAGTACCAAATGCATTGGCACAGTGGAATGATTCACTCCCTACATGTGTTGGTGAGTTCTTAAGGCTTTTTAATAGAACTAATTACTGCCTAAAGTGTAGACTATTCTCTCTAGATGACTGTGTTCCCTCTTTGTTATCTGTACAGTATTTTATTCTTGCTTACTTTTGTTCACTTTCTTGTTCATTCAAGGTTAAGATTTTATTTGCCTTTCTTTTCTAACCTTGCTGTGACATTTCATGAGTTTCATGAATGTACTCTGCTGCTGTAAATTATATGTTAGCTTCTTTTACATTAATATCAGTGACAGTCCCTGGCTGTCCCTTAATCAAGACTCAGAAATACCAGTTTGTGCCCTGACTGCTTGCAAGACTAAGATGCTCTCACCTTGCAGATCTCAAACAAGATATTAGAAAGAACACTCCTATATTAAAAATTTAGAAATAGTTACGCTAATATTTAATTGCTTGTCAGAAAAAAAACAGTATTTTTTTCAGATCAGAAAATATACTTTGTCGCATTCTAGCTATACAAAATTAAATACTCATTTTTTTTTATTTTAAATTAAAGTGCATCCATTGACATTTATAAAGCTGATTTGCACCAATCAGAAATCTAGTGATTGTGATGAAGAGCCCTACAGTAAAGAGATAAAATTCTAATGGTACATTTTTCCATAGATTTATGTCAAGGGCAAATATGGCACATTTACATACTAAGTTTTACTGGAGTTTGGCTTGTTATTTTGTATGAAAACAAAAGGAAACAAAACAAAACAGTTGTTTATAAATTAATTTAAATTGGTTATAATTTGCACAGATGTTTTTGCAATGCCATCAAACTTGCCCACTGGTAACATCTATTGCAGTACCAACTGCATTATACATTAATTTTGTGCAAAATAAATACACTGAAAACTATTCATTTTGAGGACGAAGACATCCGAAGAACTCCATTCCCAACCAAAACAGTAAATATATGTATGAGTTAAAGTTACTTTACTTTTCTTGACAGAGAACAGATTTTTCTATAAAAATGTTTCTAATCCATTGCAAAAAAACACATGATATTAACTCCAGCATTAAGAAGTTCATAAGCAGAATTTAGATGAGTGGAGGAAAGAAAAATAGAGAACATTTTTTTCATTAAGTTGATTTGAATCTTCTGTGCTAATCAGCTGATGGTGCATGGTAGCATCTGAGTGCCTTTTAGTAAAATAAAAGATTTTCTCCAAAATACTAAAATTTTGATAGATATCAAGACTAAGTACCACTGGGTTAATATTAGTAAAATAAGATTAACCATCTATTATACACAAATAAAGTTTATTTAGACTGTTTCAGGCATAGGAACAGAACTACAATTTATATATCAATAAGATACTGAAGTATATGGCCATATTTCATTTATTCTCAGTGATTACAGTTTAATCTGTAGAGTTGTACTGTCTACCCTCTTGAAATGTATTCCCTTTGTTGGGGTTTTTGGTTTTTTTTCAGATATAATAACAAAGTGTTAGAATAATTATTTTGTCCATTGATCACAGTATATTATTGATATTTTAATATATAATTTAGTCTGTGAAAGAGAAAGCTATCTGTCTCTAGGCACGTTGAACTGAGAAAGGGCTATAGGCCACCTTATGTGTGAAAATTACTGTGCCAATAAAGGTGATAAAATATATATGAGGAGAAAATTGCATTGAACTAAATTAAAGTAGCAGACGTGACCATATTAAATTGCCTTAACTGTATTGAATGCTTGAATATTTCTTTCCAGATAGTAGACATCAATCATTCTGTCTGTTCATCCTTTTGTGAGTAATTACTTAAACACTTTAAGTGACACTGACCTTTAGTTTATCCATGTAGTTCCCAGCAGATTCTATCAATTATATGCCACGCAAAATGTAGCTATAGTATTCATTATTAAGATAAGTTGCATTCTCCCACCTATTTTCTAAATCGTCATATTTGTAACTAATGAAATCAGTTCAGAACATAGTAATGTTCCATAGAAGTGATATATTAGCTTCTAATGGTTTTGATAAACCATTCCATCAATCTTTTCCTTCAAATTCTTAAATACCAACAGAATATCTTTATCTAGATTAAGCTGTGATATTCTTTGTCCCTGTTAGAGCATCTAATAATCTAGACAATATATTCAAGTTGAACATTCGGAAAAGAAACTTGTTGGTACTGAATGCCTTTGTCCTATTTTATGCATAACACTCATTAATCCATGGGCATGGATATAATGAGTGCCATCTTGCAAGCATTTAGCAATTTCTTTACTAATGTAATATATGCATAGTCTCTAATGGGATAGCTCCTACAAGGAAAGAGAACAGTTAAGGAGTTGAGACTGGTGCTGCTAATTATTCAGACAATAAAAAATTATCAATATTAAGAAATAATATATCTTTTTAATGACATCTTTTTATCCTTTATACTAATACAATACATAACTGCTCAAACTTCACTCTTAACCCGTAGAAAAAATGGGATTTTTTTGTAAGAGTGCTATGAGACAATGGAATGGATTTAACTTTGTTAAAGGTCAAATAAATAAGAAGAATATGAGCATGAGTCTGTCAGGTAGAATACTGACATAATTCTAGTTTTCTCTTATTCTTTTTTGGTCATTTAAAATAAAGTTTTTGATATGTAAGATTTTATTTTCCTGAGGCAAATATAAATTTTTAAATGTAGCATAAATTTTAAAGTTTCCAGCCATGGTATACTGAACATTGTGTAAGGTTTTATAATAACTTTTCTGGCATCTGAAGCTTCATACTTTTTTTTCTTACCTTGTGCATTTCCTTTCAGTACCCTGTGGTGGAATTTTAACAAAGCGCAAAGGGACCATTTTGTCTCCTGGTTACCCTGAGCCTTATGACAACAATCTGAATTGTGTGTGGAAGATCACAGTACCAGAGGGAGCGGGGATTCAAGTAAGTATACTTGCTATTTGCTTGTTGTCATAATGTTTTAAACCGTTTTTCCTGATGCAAGAGCATGAAAAGATCATTTATTCATACATTTTTCTATCTCACTAATGATTCTTACAATGGAATTTATTTCCCATTTTTTTATTCACACAATTTTAAAAAGTTATAATGACAAAAATTTAAAAGATACACTTGTAATTTTTACTTAGGAAAAAAATCACCAATAATTTAAAATATGTTATTTCAATAGGTTAGTGATTTCTTGTAAGCCAGACAAAATAGAGAGGGTTTCCTGTATTTTTTTTTTTTTCCCTCTCCCAAAAGGAATAAATCTTCTTTAACAGAGTAAAGTTAAGTGGGTTGCTTTTGTGGACAAGTTAGATATGTTTTCCTAAAATCTTTGTTATTTACTCTATAGTTATGAATGTTTATTGTGATGTAAAGACACCAGTATGTTTCAACACGAGATGGGAATTGGTGGTTTAAAATATTGTCAGAATTCTCCTTTAATAAAATTTAGATTAAGTTCATGGAATACATAGCACAAAAGTATCAATTAAGCTAAGTCATGTATGTCTCACTCTTTAGATTTCACTAAAGAAATTGACAGAAATCTGGTTATTGGAAAGGCAGTTGAGTTTAATAAATTAGGACTTCTAAGCATCATCTGATCAAATTCCTAGCAAAATGCATATCAAGAAACCATGGTAGTAAGTTTTCTATGTCTACCTTTGGTTCAAAATATAACCACAGTAGAAAATGAATAAATAAAGAGCTTAGTTTCTGTAGGTAAAGATGTAATAATGAAAATCAGGAAAACCACTTGGGACAATTTATTAAAGCTTTTTAATAAATTACATCACCAAGCTTTTAAGTTACTCTACTGTGTCAAAACAAGTTTTAAAAATAGTATAAGTTTATGCTTTGCTACTTTATAAGCATTTGGAAAAATCTATTTTTTTTCTTTTAAATAACTAAAAATACTTAAGAAATATGTAAAAACTTTACAGAAGAACAAAGAGATCATCACAAATATAACCTAAATCCATATATGATAATATTTATAAGTTCAATTTTCAAAGTCACTAGTGCCCATTAACAATAGTATTTACTAACTTAAATCAGTTTTGGGAGTGATTTTGAGGGACACTTCTTGATTTAAACAGTTGACTAAGTTAGGATTCTTTGTTCTGTGTATTTCTTACACAATCAGAAAAGTAAGTTAAACACTGGGAGGATAGTTCAGAGGATTTTAATTGTCATCCTGACTTAAGCGATCACTGTTGCTTATTGGAAATGTTTATCTTTCATCACAGACTGCATTAGGTGATTAAATTACTAACTTTGACTTCAAGTTAGGTATTTAATCTGCATTATATTCTTCTGCTCCAGAGTAATAATAAAAAGATGTATTTACAGTTGCTTTTTACCTAGTTCTCCTCTGATTTTTTGCTGAGCTAACAAGTACCATCCTTCCTTTCTATTATCAGTTACTGAATAAATTATTAATTTATACTTGTATAAATGCAATGACAACAGACTAGTTTCATGGGCATACTTGTAATTAGATATGTAGAATGTTTAATGTCACTAAAGGAGGGTGATCATAATATTCATACTTGATCCTTTGAATCCTGTCTGATTTTCAGAGCTGGGTCTGAGGAATATTAAGTCCCAGATATACTAAACTGACTATAACTGACATAGGATCGATAAGACAGAGTATACATCAGAAATCATCATACCATTTTTACTGAATTATTTTTCACCACTGAACTTAGGTTTATATCTACTAATGACATTAAAAATGACATCAGAATTGTTTGGTTTTCATTTTTTCTTGTTGGGTTTTTTTTCACTCATAAGAAAGGGAAAAACTAAAAATACATATATAAAAAGTAATTATTACTGTGAAAATCAGCTACTTGAAGCAACATCTGAAGACTTGGGTGACTGATTTTGTCCAACCTTAGAATGCATGCAAATGTGGATATTCAAGATATTGTAATAACTGTTACTTTTTAGTGTTTATGCAAATGCATAAAATATCTGGACATTTTCCCTGACCAATATTTGTTCCTTCAAAGTAATAAGGACCCTTTCCCAACTTTAAAGAAAATTAAAATATTATATTGCCAATGCATATTCCCCTGTGAAATGTGTAGATGGAATTTTAAACTATTTAGCTATAACAGCTATTGATGTGTATGATTACATGGTTGAATTTGTTGAAACAGTGTGATCAGATGTAAATGCTGAGATGTCTCATACCAAATTGAAATGCAGATATTTAAAAGTAGATTTGGGTAAATATGAAGAGTGTGCAATAAAAGGCTGCCTTCTGGCACCTAACATAAATACCTTAAATCAGAAAATTAATCTACCATGGTTCCTTATAAAGCTAGGGCAGAAAGGCACCTTGTGAAGATAATTCAAAACACCTACTAGAAAGTCTGGCTCTGAATCACTACCTGAAGGTATGTCTGTCTATTTATTGACTACGTGGGGAGGTTAGCACAACTAACATCAGTTTTGCTAAAATAGATGTTTTAAATTAGGTGTTTTATGATGAATATAAAAACTATAGTCAGCACCAATCTAGCCCTGAAAACACAGCAAAAAAACCCCAAAAAACCTCCATTAGATAATTTGAAACTTGTTCTGAAGGTTTCCTAGGTGCCTGCACTTCCATTTCTGTATGTCTTCAGAAATATTCCTGACAGAGACAACATCTGTAAATTTCACCTAAATCCTTTGTGAACCAAAAAATAAAAAGAGAAGTATTACAGTTTTCTGAGAGACCAGATCCAGTGGGCCTCCTTCAGGTATCTAAAGCACACTAACAATCAGACCCTCTGCATTGCTTCACTTTAAAAAACAAAACAAAACAAATAAAATCATCTTCTGACTGTAGTATCTGAACAACTCCTAGAAAATTATAGTGCTTAAGTCCCCCATCCAAAAAACAGGTAGCCAAATGGAACATTCCTTTCACATAGAAGGAGGTCCAAGTCATATATTTCACCTAGAAAAATAACTTCATTAACTAGTTGTATTGGAACCAGTGCTTATTTCTTATTGAAGCTGTTCCATTTTGGACAAAATGAAAAGAAGAATAAGCAAGGCAGAAGAACAGTAAAAGAAGACTAATTCTCTAACTTAGTGTCTTAGTTACTCTTTTTTGAGAGTGGCTGAGGTTTCATTCATGCTTCTGTCACTCTTTAAATGCTTTTCATTAAACCATTATTTCACTAAAACAAACCAAACAAACAAACAAACCAAAATGCCAGACCCACTCATCGCCAAAACAGGACCAGGAACGGGGCATTTCTCTTCTTTGTGGGAGTGTTTTCACTGCATGAGAACAGATATATCCTCCCTGTTGCAATCTAACTGCTTACTGCTTTGCATCTCCTTATGAGTGGAAGGATGTTGTCATCTCTGGAAGGAATGAAATCAATGTTCTGCCTTTTGCTTGTAGCATGCTAGTGATTGCTTCTCTACAGGAGATGAGTAAATGATGAAGGGAACCAAACACAGGAGGTTGCTCTTACCTGTAGGTAGAATTGAACATGACAAGATAGATGAAGCAGCGTGCATCACTGTGGGATTTTTTTTAGCCCTGGATAAACTAGAGAGAATCACAAAGAAGCTGCAGTAATTGACAATAGTATGTTTTGTCTTCCCCTTGATGTCTACCCAACAAGGGAGTCATATTGTATACCCAGATGATTTTCACAGTTGTGTGACTCTTGTCAGAGGTATATGTGGTTATCACTAAGGGTCACGGGATTTAAAAGTCTGAATTGGCAATTAAATACAGAAAATGTTGCAGTGCAATTTTATTCTCTTAATGATAGTTTTCCATTCTCTTTGACAATGAGAGCAAGACACAACTTTTCGTGACTGAACGCAACAGAGCCTACAAATTACAGTCATCTTTGTGCTTGAATACAGAGGGGAAGACGTTTGTGTTCTTTTTTCTTCATAGGTGCAAGTGGTGAGTTTTGCCACAGAGCACAACTGGGATTCCTTAGACTTTTACGATGGTGCTGACAACAATGCTCCAAGGCTTGGAAGTTATTCAGGTGACTGAGAAGATTTTACAATAAGTGTTTCCCAGATTCAACTCTTTATTTTAAACACACAGCTCTTTCTAAGTCTTTAGTGTGTATGTATGTGCACACACAGGCACACACTTGAGTGTGTGAGATTTTTTCTCCTATAATCAACAACAGGGAGTATTCTTTCTGTTTTAAACAGTCATCTCTTAGCCGACTTTCATACAGCTGAATATTTGGAAATCTTAGAAATTAAATTCAGAGGCTCCCAAACTAGATATCTATTAATCTAATTTTTTTACCAACTCTTATAGCAGGGTCCAGAAATACAGATCTCTAAAAGGGATGCCTCTTGAAATTGTACATGACTAAAGGAAACATTCTTTATCCTTGTTTGAGATAAATGATACAGTTCTGTTTGCCTTACTTTTTCTTGTTTTGTTTTATTTTCCTTTATTCTCCTTCATATGTAAGGAATGAGATCACAGACAATAACATGGTTGTTTTGTCTTATGCTGTTTAATAAATAAATAATCAATCAATCAATCAATCACATTTTTAAGAAGAGCCCTAAAAATATGTTCAGAGCTGCTTGATATATTTGGCTGTTCTTTTTTAAATTATTCCAGTTACAGTATTTACTCTTGCTTTTATGAAAATCCTAGTGAATATTTCTCCATTTATGGATAAAAGCATGTAAGATTCAGACATATGCTTCACTGGGTAAAACACTGACTCAATGGCTGAGCCCAAAGAGTTGAGATGGAGATAAATCCAATTTGTGGCCAGTCACAAGTGGTGTTCCCCAGGGCTCAGTAATGGGGCCAGTTCTGTTTAATATCTTCATCACTGACCTGGATTGAGTGCAGACAACACCAACAAGTTGGGTGGGAGCGTTGATCTGCTTGAGGGTAGGAGGACTCTGCAAAGGGATCTGGACAGGTTGGATCGATGGGCCAAGGCCAATTGTATGGGGTTCAACAAGGCTACATGCCAGGCACTGCACTTAGTTCACAACAACCCCATGCAACACTACAGGCTTGGGGGTGAGTGTCTGGAAAGATACCTGGCAGAAAAGGACCTGGGAGTGTTAGTCTACAGCTGGCAGAATATGAGCCAGAAGTGTGCCCAGGTGGCCAAGAAGGAAAATAGCATCCTGGCTTGTATCAGAAGTAGTGTGGCCAGCAGGACTAGGGAAGTGATTGTCCTCCTGTACTCAGCACTGGTGAGCCCATGCCTCTCATGCCTCGAATGGAAAAGGACATTTCCCCCCCCCCAAAAACTGGGTGTGCTGGTGGACAGCAAGTTGGCCATGAGCCAGAAGTGTGCCCTTGTGGCCAAGAAGGCCAACAGTATCCTGGGGTGCATTAAAAAGAGCATGGCCATCAGGTCAAGGGAGGTTCTCCTCTCCTTCTACTGTGCTCTGGTGAGGCCACATCTGGAATATTATGTCCAGTTTTGGGCTCCCCAGTTCAAGAAAGACAGGGATCTTCTAGAGAGAGTCCAGTGGAGGGCCACAAGGATGATGAGGGGCCTGGAGCATCTGCCTTACGAGGAGAGGCTGAGAGAGCTGGGACTGTTCAGCCTGGAGGAGAGAAGACTGAGAGGGGATCTTATAAATATCTATAAATACCTGAAGTGTGGGGGCCAAATGGATTGATCTGGGCTTTTTTCAGTACTACCCAGTGACAGGACAATGGGCAGTGGGCAAAAACTGCAACACCAAAAGTTCCATACAAACTTAAGGAAAAACTTCTCTACTGTACGGGTGTCGGAGCACGGGAACAGGCTGCCCAGAGAGGTTGTGGAGTCTTCATCTCTGGACATGTTCAAAAACTGCCTGGACACTTTCCTGTGCAACCTGTTGTAGGGAACCTGTTTTGGCAGGGAGATTGGACTAGATGATCTCCTGAGGTCCCTTCCAACCCCTACAATTTGGTGATTCTGTGAATACTGTGTTCAGTTTGGGCCCCTAACTACAAGACAGACATTGAGGTGCTGGAGCATGTCCAAAGGGCAACGAAGCTGGGGAAGGGTCTTGAGAACAAGTCTTATGATGAGCAGCTGTTGGAGCTGGGGTCATTTAGCCTGGATAAAAGAAGGCTCAGGGGAGGCGTTATCACTTTCTGGAACTAGCTGAAAGGAGGCTGTAGCGAGGTGACTGTCCATGTCTTCTCCCAAGTAACAAGTGATAGGACAAGAGGAAATGACCTCAGATTGCACCAGGGAAAGTTTAGATTGGATATTAGGATATTATTTCTTCACTGGAAGGGATGTCAACCATTGGATCAGGCTGCCCAGGGAAGTGGTGGAATCACCATCCCTGGAGGTATTTAAAAGACGAGTAGATGTGATGCTTAGGGACATGGTTTACTGGTGGACTTGGCAGTGTTAGTTTTATGGTTGGATTCAATGATCCTAAAGGTCTTTTCCAACCTATATGATTTTATGATAATATAAATTTATATTAGACCCTGCTGCCCTGAGTGTGTTCAGTTCAAATCTCTGTTATTGTGGTGCACTGAAAATGTAATAAAACTTTTATAGGCACAGATAATTTATAACATCCTGGATGGCAAAATATGTCTCTCTTCTATTCTCTCTCCTTTCTCTCACCATTTACCTTTTTGTCTTTCTCTTCTTTTGTATACATACACACATTTATGTATGTATTTAGTTCAGTTTCTGTGCATTTCAATAATATTTTGATTTCTCTTTTCAGGAATAACCATACCTCCACTCCTCAACAGCACATCAAATAATCTGTACCTAAATTTTCAGTCTGATATCAGTGTTTCAGCTGCTGGATTTCATCTTGAGTATACAGGTAATGCAGAAATGTTCAATTAATTAAAAGTGCTTGCTGGTTCCAGACATCAGGTGTATCTAACTATATGAAAGCAGAATATTCAGTTTTATTGCACATAGTGAGCTACATACTGTTCTTTCAAAGTTATTGGTAAAATCCTCATTTAAATCCAAGAGAGCAAGATCAGTCCTTGTGGTGGGTTGACCCTGGCTAGAG